ACATTATTTCTGCTTTTAATTCTACATTTCTTATTACAGAGTTTATCTAAACCCAAGAACAAAAAAATGTTTATTTCACCTGGTGATCCTGCCAGTAGCACACTTCCTGTACTTCCAGTAAGATGATGTTCACACACTGTACTGTATCTATGGAGGAGCAGCACTGTTGTCTTAAGACTTTACTATCCCCTGTTCCACTCCCATCTGCATACTATAGTGAAGGAAATGCGTATTTGCCCCCTGCTGATGTTGAATGTTTGCCCCTCACAAAGAAATGATCGGTCTAACAATCGAATGTTGTTCGGTGTAACACTGAGAGACAGAATACAACAACAAATTCAGCAGAAATGCGTCTAACAAATGATGACTGATCTGCATGTTCATGAGGGAAAGAAGGATTTGATCCCCTTCACAAAACATGACTTGGTGTTTGGTGGCAAATCCCTTGTTGGTAAATCATAGAGGTCAGACGTTTCCTGGAGTTGGCCCCCAGGTTTGCACACATCTCAGGGGGATTTTGGCCCACTCATCTTGGCAGATCCTCTCCAAGTCATTAAGGTTTGGTGGCTGATGTTTGGCAACTCGAACTTTCAGCTCCCTCCACAGATTTCCAATGGGATGAAGGTCTGGAGACTGGCTAGGCCACTCCAGGACCTTAATGTGCTTCTTCTTGAGCCACTCCTTTGTTGCCTTGGCCGTGTGTTTTGGGTCATTGTCATGCTGGAACACCCATCCACCACCCATTTTCAATGCCCTGGCTGAGGGAAGAAGGTTCTATCCCAAAATTTGATGGTACATTTCTTTTGAATTTTTTGTTGTATTCTGTCTCTCAGTGTTACAATACACCTATTCAATTTTTGGAATGATTTCATTGTGAGGGGCAAACATTCAACATCAGCAGGAGAGCAAATACGTATTTCCTTCACTGTATAGAAATTAGGCATTCTGTAGTCCAAGAGAGAATGGGGAACATTAATACCTCAGTTTTTGCACTTATTGCACACATATAACAAAACACTTTCAATTATATATTTACAGACTAAAGGGGAGCAAATAAGAGACATTCATTATTAGGGTGTATTACTACCCCCAAAGGAGCAGCTTGTATATTTGGGTCCCCTGTTGCTTGCCTCAACCCCAAGAACAACCTCTACCCCTCTGACACACCCTGGTTAGATAAATCAATACAGACACCAACTCAAATATAGAGTTTCTAGGAAATATTTTACTGAAAATATTAGGGCCAATAGAGAAATAGCCCCTGAACCAACAAATATACACTCTTGCTACAGAGATCAGTCTCTCCCAGATTTGTAACAATAGGTATTGAGTTAATGGCACTTTTAAACCTTATCTTATAGCAGATGTCGGGTAGATCTATGATCCCAGGGGTAAAAGGGGGAAGATGAGGCCCTTGGTCAGTCATCTCCCTTTAGGCCCTGGTGCCACAGGCAATGAACAATACAATATATCATTCTGAATAAGGATTACCCCTTTAAATGACTAAGAAACAATTCAGCAATGTCAATATACATTCAGCAGCCTCCCGACAGATACAGTCCCTTTGGGTGCAGGAGTTCCCAAAAGTGAATGTGTCCCTTAATTCCAGCTTACTTGGGGAGGAGCTCAGGTTTATCACTGTGCCCAACAACCAGCCATAGAAAGGGACTTGGCAGACATCACTCTTCCACAGCAGATTCCAGTGTGGTGCAGAGACAGAGAAATGTTGTCTGCATAGTGTCTATACAAGGAGGATTGTTGGCCATGCGCCCACTCACCAAACCTCGGGAGAGTAGCACAACTGAAATCCGCAGCATGTGCTCTTGGCAGTACAGGATGCCGCTTGATGGCCTCCGGGCAACTGGTCAATCTACTGTTGAAGAGGCCTGTTCAATGGCCAGTGATGCCCGGCCCAATCTTCCACCATTAATGCCACTGTCCCTGGAACACAAAGACTCTCCCTGCACTGTGATGTGGTACAGAGCGACTGAGCAGGGTACGCTTGATGCACCACTGAACTGTGGCCTGGAACTCCTGGGAAGAAGTCACACACCCCTTGGTCAGTCTCGAAGTCCCCATGCTAAGAGACTTAACATGGCTGCTGCAGGGAAATAATCATCTCTGCCCAGAATTCCTTGGGGATTCCTTACCTCTGGTAATTGTAGTCCAGATAATACTGAGCAATACAGTGTAACTAGGCTGTAAGACTACAAGTCCCAAGATCCTCTGCTTTCAGACACACTTCCTACTCTGACAGCAGGAAATGACATGTGTACTCTGCACTGAACACTAGAGGGAAAGGAGAGGAGTCTCTGTCTGTGCAGCAAATGTCTTTGGATTGCAGAATGGCAGAGCCTGACCCCGCTACCAGGGTTTTCATACATTTGATGCTATAATGATGTAAGTGATGTTAGGATGATGAGTAGAATAACTGTTTTGAAATAAATGTGGAACTGTGTCACATAATCATGGTGAGAACTTTGCAGAATAAAATGGTTTCACAGAGCCACTGATGATATTATTGACCGTAGAGCTGGGCAAAGCTTTTAATACAGTCAGTAGAAAAAAATTTATAAATGCTGTAGAATACATGCAGAAATGTATAGAATCTCAAGACAGATAAACGGGACATTAACACAAATGGATTCAAGCTGGGTATAAGTCTTCTACTGGTTCAGCAAATCAGAGCTACAAAAGAAAGGAAGATAACCATCATTGGTGGAGCATGAAACATTTCCAATGATTTATTTAGTTGTAATGCTATCAAAAGCTTGTTCTTTTGTTATTTTGTACCAGTCTTCAGGTAATTTGGCTGGCAAGGCTTTGTACTCTTTTGCAAACTTTTCATTGAACTCCTTAAAAATATATTTCCAGTATATGGCAGCTTCGATACTTGGATCAGGTTGAATTTTCCAGTCAGGGTAAATTTGTCGATACTCTTTGTAAGGATGTGGCATTCCATGTGTGTCGTCACATGAAAATGTTTTGTTACTTATAACATCTGTTGAACACAGCTCATGGCAAAGAATATTTGAATCTGAGTGCCTATATCTTCCCATTCCTTGAGGCCGATGAAAAGATGAAAAGTGCTCTTTATGATCAATACCACCGGCTTCGCAAGGAACCTTACAAAATGGACACTGTTTCCCACATCCAAAGACTTTCTTAAACAGCTCATCTTGGGGTTTTATAGAAACCCTGGATAGCACAACTTCAACACCTAGGCTGCTTAGTTCAGTTACTAATTGTCCTTCAATGTCACATAAAAATGGCTTTACATATTGGAAGAACTCGTGAACACTGCCAGTGTCTTGAAATACTACCGCATTCATATTATTCTGTGAGATGACTAAATCATCCTTTAAGATCTTGCTAAATTCTTTCAAACTTACAGACAATTTTGTACAATTTACAACAGACTTTTTCTCAAGAGACTCTCTGACTTTGTTTGTAATAGTTGTTAAGCTGCTTGATATTAGCCTTTTCAGCCTTCCAGGTTCTGTGTACTGAACTGTCAAGTTTTTTGGTGATCCAGTCTTTTGCAAAAATCTCATAGTGAAGACAATATTTCACATATTCTGTAAAATTTTTTCTCTGTCAGTAGGTCATGCAGTAAAGTGGTTTGGAAGAAAGTTCTAGTACCATATTTTGCAGAATCAGTGTTGCATAAGACATCATCAGTAATAGAATATCCAAGGTTTAAAAACACATACCCAGTCAGTGCTGGTTTCAGACACAATTCACAGAATCTTTGAGCCCTTTCTCTGCAATCATTTTTGTTGGCATAGACTTCTTTAAATGTGTTCAAGTAAGAAGGTTTTAATTTTTCCAGACAAAGTTTTGGATCATTTTCCTGAATAAAGTCCTCATGCATCTTCTGGAACATCGGTGCTGCTTTCCCTAAAGTTAAAAGTTTTAGTCTGAGCTCAAGCAGTGGTTTGAAGTAGGACTTTTTTCCTTGTTTTTCTTGAAGGCCATTATCTACAATGTCCAATAACTGCTGGCAAAATGTTTCATCGTAATCCTCTTTTGTGGAAATCTTTTTTGCAACGTAACGATTACATCTATCCATGATAGCGATAGATGCAGCAGTTGCTTCCTCCCAGAACTGTTCTTCAAATCTCTGGGTGTGAACTTGAAAAACTGGATCTTCCAAATACTTTTTTTTCATCGTAAAATCTTTTCCCTTGTATTTTTCTAAACTGTCAAGCTTAACCAGTTTCTGGTTAATGTAGCTTGCCTTATTCTTCATGTTTTTCCTTAAATGCTCCAGCATGGTTTTTGCAATCTCTTGTCTCTTTAAACCTTTCAGAGTAAATTCCTGCAAGGTTTTGTTCCACATTGTCTGAAACTCAGACTCTTGTTCCTCAACGCTCAGTTTTCTATTTGCATGCTTGTATCTTTCCAGAAGAGCACTGACTTGCTCCTCAATTTTTTTCTGATAAATTGCTTGGATGCTGGCTATTTTTTTTTTTTTCATTTTGAATCCGGTTGACTTCCATACACTTGTTATTTAAATAATATTCAAGTTCCTCTTGTAACCTTGGCACATAACTAATGAATTCAGTTTTGTAATGTTGAATTGACTTCACATACTTATCATTTTTCTTGAAGTAATCTTCTAGAAATGTTTCCATGATCTGGGATTGTGTCCATAATATTTGGTTTATTTCTCTCTTTAAGTCCATTTTGAGCTCAGGTTCTTGTTCGCAAGAATTCTGATTCTTGATCTTATTCTCTGTTTTTATCATCCAGCTGTGTGCCTCTTTCCTGAACTTCCACTCCTGTTGTGAGTATGCTATACACAAGTCATTGTAAGCTTTAGCTACTATGCTGCTCCTAAAACTAAAGATGAATTTCTCATGTTTTACAGCATTCCATAAACTTTTAATCAACTCAGTGAATTCATTTATATTGTTGGAGTCAGAATCTGATTTCTGTTTGATAAGTTCCAATAAATGCATTTTAAGTTCATATACATTTTCACTATATCCAGTGCTAATAGATGCCATGGGGGGAACACCATGCCACAAGCCAGAAATGTACCAGTTGTCTCTCTCAATGTCATAGTCAATGATTTCAGAGAACTGTGTGACATCATCATTATTCTCCATTTTTGCTGCGATTTCTGTCATCTCATCCAACTGCTCTAGGAGCAGCTTGTTTTCTCTTGTGATCTTGTCATGAGCGGACACGTCACTCACATTCTGATGTACAAATTGACAGTTGGCTTTCTTCTTAATTTGTTTCATCCTAAGAAATGCATGGACCACAATCTGTAAAATATCCTTCATCTCTGTTGTGTTTTCCATGGCCATATTGACAAGGGAGATATCACTCAACCCAACTACTAGTGTGGCCAGTTCATTGTCATGTTCATTACTGTCACCAAGGGAAGCCAACTCTGGAGCTCTTAGTCCTTCAGTGTCAATCACCAGAATGAAGTCACAGCTGAGTTCCTCTTGGAAGTTCTGTCTCACATTAAGAAGAGTCATGAAGGCTCCTCTTGTGCATCGTCCACTAGCTACTGGGAACTGCAGACCAAACATGGTGTTCAGAAGGGTGGATTTCCCCGTACTCTGCACTCCCAGTACAGATATCACTATAATTTTGCATTTTCCTCCTGTTTTTTTTGTCAAGTTCGCTGAGAACATCACTTATCCACTTCAGGGGTACATTTGAGACATCCCCATCCATCAGTTCTAATGGAAACCCATCCAACAAGAGACGAGCACCCATTTCTGGAAGATGATGAAATTTCCTCTGCTTCTCGTTGATCTCCCTTCTTTCTACCATAAAACACTCAGCCTCGTAAAACTGTCCTAATTCACGGAGAAAATGTTCAATTCCCAAATTTCTGTCAGATATATTTTGACCAAGACCCTTTTCTTCACTTTGTTGAACTGTAGGATACTATCTCTAGATACTGCATCTAGATAGAATTTTAACCATTTCAAAAAAAAAGGTAGCTCTGTGCTTGACTTCCTAGTAAGGGTATCTAGAAATGCCTTCATGCCTTCAGGAAGTCTCTGATGATTTTGCTGTCTACGTAAGCCTACGATTCTCTTAACTAGTTGGGATTTGTATTCCTCCCCAGATAGGTTACCTTGATTCTTCATTTGGCAGAGTTCTTTCTCAATTTTGGCCAATTCTCTCCAGGCATCTCCTTGTAGTTTCATTGCTTCTTTCTTGTAAACAACAACATCACTTATAGATTCAGTGATTTCCAGGGGGCGAGTGTTCTTGCATCCTTACACTCCTTAAAGCTTTCATCAACTTCCATTCCAATTTCATATGCAACATGCACCATGTCCTGCAGAGCATTTGTATTTTCCTTTGTGCTTATTAGTTCTTTCATTAATAATTGCAGTTTTCTTGCAGTTTGCCTGTCTTGAGACATTCTTGGATTTAGAGCTATTATTTTTTGTTTAAGATCTGGAAAAATCTCTGTCAAATAATCAATGTTTTTTCTTGCTGTGTGCTTGTTATCTTTACATATAATAAAAATATATTTTCTGGTTTTTACACATGACAGGTTTGTCAGAAATGTCTTGAATTTTCCATCTATGATTTTGGAAGATTGAAGACTGATAATGAAAAAGTAGTTTTTGCTGGAAACATCAATATCTATTAACCACTGACTCTCCACATTGGTGTCTTCAATAAAAATGAACACAGTTTGCGAAATTTGTGAAAGAAAACAGAACTGTTTCTTATTTTTCTGTAGATCTCCCCTGAGGTTGACAATGGCAACAGGATCATAGAAAAGATCTGACTCCCTTCCAGCTGGGAAGTACCAGGCTACTTCCACCAATCCATCAGCGATTTTTCTTTTTACATTCCCACCATTCATATCCTGATGTACAAAAAAATCATGGACTTGCTCTTCTGGACTGAAGATCTGATTTAGTATTTTGGATTTTGATGAACTGTAGTCTCCAAACCTCACAAAAGAAATAACGGGCATGGAATGTTGCACTATACTTTCCTCAGCATACCCTTTTTGTTGTCTCTGGTTATTTGGTATCCATCTTTTTACAATATCTCTCATACCAAACAACATAAAGGTACAGCTATCAGAGCCATCAACAGCCGGGAGGATCAGAGGGACAGCAAACTGACACATTGACATTTTTCTAATAATCTCCTGTTGAAGAAACTTGTCTGAGCAGTGGAGGAGAGCACACACAACATCAAGAGGGTTGACTGAGTTTGATGTACTATCATTCTCAAATAAGTCATCAACATTAAATGTTTCATTGTCATCATTTTGTTCAGTTTCATTGGAGTTTAATACCCGTGCAGTTACATTTAGAGCAAAAAGTTTTTGCAGGAAGCACCAGAAAACATTTTCTGCAGGTTCAATCTTCTTACAAGTCTCTGATCCAATATCCAGGACATCCTTAAGTGTAAATTTTGATGTTATAAATCTTCTCAGACCCAAATTTTCAAGATATAGCATCAGATTTGTTGCATTGTCTGGAAATATGTAATATTATATTTTATTTTATGTATAATACATTACACAGTTTAATGTCTAATTAACTAACAGTATATTGTGCCTTCCCTTGTTCCTTCTACCCCCTAATTAACATGCTACATTTTTTAAAAGTAAAACCTGCTTTCATTACATACCTTATTTTAGACCCAGTGATGAGATCACTTGGTCTCCGTACTTTTCTATGCAATGCAAGCAGATTATGACTGGTGGGAGGGGTCAGCAGGGTGCTGTACATAGCTTCCTGAAAATATTACAACACCCTGCTTCAGTACTCCTCTCAAAAGTCCTCAGCCCTGATACAAGCATTGGGATGGCACTTGGTAAAAGTTATGCAATATCATATTTTCTTGATGGGTGGGGGACAGTCTGCAGGAGTGGGTGTCCCTACGCAGAGAGCAAGACTGAATGGAGGGCTAGAGTTCAGCTTCAAAGATATGTAGCTCTTAAAACACATATGTTGTACGTAGGGTCTGATCAGTAGAATACAAAGTCACTTTAAGCATCCAATCATGTGCTAGGGAATGAAAGGAAAAGATCTTCTTTTTCACTTTTTCAAATGATAAAAATAAACACAGGTTCCCTTAATCACACCTTATTCTTAAAGGGACCTGAAAACAAAGATAGTGGCCAGCAAGATAAAATTGTGCTCTGTAGCAGAGTCATAGCCACTAGTGGAATCTGACACATTTGGGTGTGTGAAATACAATTTTCCCCTCTGTCCCTGTGGTATCTGCCAATTTCTACAACTCTACAGGACTGAACTACCATCTTGGTCTCAATGCGTGCTCAGACCAAAAAACAAAACTTCCTTCCCCACAGCCCTGGTGTAATGGTTCTGGGGGTCTGTGGGTAGGAGGCTTGAAAGAACCTGGAAGCCCCCTTTCTGACCCTTCCACCAATTCACTATATATTTACCAATTCACTATATATATATATATATATATACGGTATCTCACAGAAGAGAGTACACCCTTCACATTTTTGTATATATTTGCAGTTTAGAAAAGTGTTCATTTCTCCGGGGTTATCACTTGAAAAAGAGAGAATCAAATATTTACACAAATGTGAGGGGGGGGCTCACTTCTGGGAGATACTATATATACCGTGCCTTGAAAATGTATTCATTGCCCCTTGAAATTTTTCCACATTTTGTCATGTTACAACCAAAAACGTCAATGTATTTTATTGGGATTGGATGTGATGGACCAAAACAAAGTGGCACATAATTGTGAAGTGGAAGGAAAATGAGAAATGGTTTTCAAAATTTTTCACAAATAAATCTGTGAAAAGTGTGGTGGCATTTGTATTCAGCCCCCCGGAGTCAATACTTTGTAGGACTCCCTTTCCCTGCAATTCCAGCTGCAAGTCTTTTTGGGGATGTCTCTACCAGCTTTGCACATCTAGAGAGGGACATTTCTGCCCATTTTATTCTTTGCAGATTGCAATATGTGGGAAGGACCTCCAGACCCTTATATAAAAGGCTTAGGGAACATATAACAAATATAAAAAGGGAGGACCATTGTCTTTCCAGACATTTTTTTAGGGACGAACACAATTGTGATCCAGGGTCCCTAAAATTCTGTGGTATTGATAAAATTTTTTTAATGGAGAGGTGGTGATAAAATCAAAGCAATATCACAGAATGAAACATTCTGGATTTTTTCACTAGAAACACTCAGACCGAAAGGATTAAATGTTGACCTCGATCTTAAATTGTTTTTTATTTCTAATTATTGATTATAGTCTGATTTTAGAATAATATGCCATATCTGTAATTTTTGATAATTTTTAAAATCTTATGAATTTAAATAATTTTTAATAATAATATTTTTATTAGAGAATAAAAATTATATAAATTTCAAATTATTAAGTCAAGTATTGAATTATATTAGTATATTACTTATTTTAATTATCAAAAAATTATTTAAGTCAAGTAAAAAAAATTAAAATTAGTATATTACTTATTTTAATTAAAAAAAAAAAATGAAAAAATATTTTAATACAGTAAAAAAAAAAATTTAGATTCTCTAGTTAGGATGAGTATATGTTTTGGTTATATGGGACGTATCAAATATTGGGGGAGGTTAGGGTATATAGAAAACTATGTGCTTATATATTTATTTGTCTTGTAGTAAAGTTATATCATGCCTGCATTATAGGTTGACTGTTAGAGTATGGTATAGCCTATATTTGGAATTATATTGTGATTAATTTGTTTCCCAAATGTAATCATATATGGGTAATTATGAAAAAAAGGGTGACCTTGGGGCTGATTAGATTATATGACGTATATGGGGTAAGATTTATAGTCATTAGTAGTAAAATAAAAAAAAATTATTGAAAAAAAATTTTTCCCTGACCCAAGATGGCGGTCGTTGTTTGACTAATAATGAGGAGTGAAACTATGTGATCCATAAAGGATAAGAAAATTTAATTAATGACAAAGATATAATGCCGTTGTGGTAAAATATCAAAATCCTAATAAAAAAAAAAAAAAATAGATGTAGCTCAATACCGCTCTGACCGAGGTAAAAACAAAGTTTCCCTGACCTAATATGAAAAATAAGTTTCGCTATTAGGATGGGGAGTGATATAAAAAACGACTGGTGGTTCCGACGTAAAATCCTTTATGACTAAGTCCCGGATGTGATAAAAACGCGTCAAAGGAAAAAAAAAAAAAAACGTATAGCAGGAACCGGAAGTGGTAAAAAACCATCTTAGAGAAAAAAAAAAAATAAACAAAAGCCACTAAAAAAGCTGTTTGGTAACCCTGTGTACAGGGAACACAGTTATATGCTTGTTTTTTACTTGTTTTGATGTAAGGAGATTAATTAAAGGTATTGTTAAATTTAAAAAAAACGGTGTTATATAAAATTAAAATCATTTTTTTTACCTATATGCGATATGCAAAAATCCTTATAAATAAATAAAAAGGTTCATGTGTTTATCATGATGGGAAATAAAAATTAAGTGGACAGCTTTAAAGGAGGAGAGGAAATGATAAAGAAGCAAAAAAAAAAAAAAAAAAACTATTTACAATTTTCAAGG